TGCAGTTACTTGTAGCAGGTTGTTTTTTTACGCGCCCAACCCTCCCTCTTTCTCATCCTGGACTTGGGACCAGGCAAAGGCGGAGGTTGGCATGTTTGGTGTGACGGGGATTCGAACCCGCGACCCTCAGATTACGAGTCGAGCGCCCTAACTACCTGGCCATGCCGGGCTTAATCTGAGGACTTATGACAATGAAAATCTGGTTTCGTTTTGCACGGTGGGTAATAGTCCGCTGTGTAGCTTTGCGCTTAACAACAAAACAAATTTATCATCCTTATTTTGTAGCGCCATCTGTTGACATCTATATGATTGAAAATGGGGGAACTTTTAGGCAATTGATTATTTTCAGCAATTAGTCTAGCAACTTATATCCTGACAACGGTTCCTCTCCTAGTCGTCTGTGTTATGATGAAATAGAAATATAAACCAGAAAGAAAATTAAAGTGTAAGGATTCAAAGACCCTTAAAAGAAAAAAGAAAAAATATTCGAATGTAAATGATCATTATTAAATTTTTATAATGACAATAAAACATAAATCATTTTGTCCTGAAATGAATTTATTTATTTTCTTTATTATCCTAGAAATGGTAAAAATATGTGTTCTGATAGTGGTGTAAACTGTCAATACAGTATCTTCCATTTTTAGAGGGTTTTTTCCCCTTTAAACAAATATTACGTCTTTATCAAAGTGCTGTTGGTTTCCTAGTGCAAAGCTAGACAGATAATGAGCTGTTTGTACTCTGTCCATCACGGGAAATCGAATCACGGATTTTAGCGTTGTTAATCCATAAAAATAACCACTGACACCCCGTGGGGATTTATCAAAGTGCAAAGAAGTCAGTAGTACAATTTCTATTGAAGCAGCAAGGCTTTTTAAGCCTAACGAAGTGATGAAAGCCACAACTGGCTACATTTGAGTTAGTTTTTTCACACACACACCAGCTATGAGAGTCCAGCCCAGCTATTTATAATATGGGTTTTCGTATTGAACGAAAGGCCTACTGGGTAGTGTTTGTGGCAGAAGAAAAACATAGAATAGAAATGCTATTTTTAAAAACCTCCGAGTCTAAATCCGTAATGGACAAATAAAGAAGAATGTGGGAAAAATACTTATAACCGGTTTAGGAACGCCCATAGTTTAGTCATTGTTCATATTATTCTTTCACTAAAGAATTATCTTTTGTCTGTTTATCTGTCCGGAAAGTTTTCTCACACGTTTCTCGATCAAACGCTACAAATTTCATATCGTTAGAGAAGCCCGGATTGCATATTGGCTTTGCAATTCATAATCATCTTACTTGTTTTTTCTTTTTAATGCAACGAGTACGCTACACAATGTCGTTGTCATCACGTGACGACTGGCTTCGATTTCAACTTTAGTTTCTTTATTTGCGAAGTATTTCACACAAACAACACTTAACCCGCATGTAATCTCCTAAAAAAATAACATTATACTAAATACAATTGCTATGGGCTTTCTCGACTTAATTAGGTCTAAAATACGCATGCAAAGTTCGTTCAAAACCATATGTTTTTCACTTTGTGAATACACATTCAGACGTTTCTGCATATTCAGCTAAGTTTGTCTTCATTATAACTTTACATTTACTTTTCTTTGCAATAATTTAGCTTCTGCTTGTTTCATAGACTACTATAAATACCTTTTAGCTACTATTTTTCTTTACTACGGGTTTTATTCTTCATTTTCGTGAGTTTCTTTGTTTCAACTCGTAAAACAGTGTCATACACTGAATGCTGATAACGCTCTGTACACTATTACAAATACCATGACTATACTTTTAATGTTTACTTTAGGCGTAATTTTATTAAATAAAGTTACGTACGTGTAGTTTTTTTTAAACAAATTTACGTCTACGTGCATTTGTTTGTCTGACGGCGTAAAATTATTCTTCAAATAGATTAGGATATACAGATCTAACACATAATGCCTGTAAGAAAGCATAGCATGTTTTAATTGTTTCACAGACACAAAACACATGTAGCAGCTTTGTACATAGCATGTTTCAAAGAATTTCTTTGGGTATCTAAAAGAGCAAAATGTAGGAATTTTCTGCTGAATGGTCAATGTTTATTTGCTTTCTTTGCACACAATATTTGTTTAGAAATGTTTTCGATTATTAAATTATCCAAAGCTCTGAATAACAAGCTTGGCGGCTTGCCAAATATTCTTATCTGTGTGTGTGTGTATAAACCAAGTTTAAACGTTTGGGTAGTGGACGTTCATCACAGTTTCTCGTTGTTCTAGCTGATCTACAGTTATTTCTAGTTTCGTTCAAATTAATTGTTTGTTTGAAGTTAAGCACAAAGCTACACAATGGGCTATCTGTGCTCTGCCCACCACGGCTATCTAAACCCGGTTTCTAGCGTTGTAACACCACAGACATACCGTTGTGCCACGGGGGGGGGGGCTTCAAATTGATACGTTTAATCTTGGTATGTGGAGAATCTGAATCTACGGGTGGGGTTTGGTAATCATGTTCGTCTCCTTTCTTCACTCGCCTGCGTAGAGTGACAGAAAACCAAACATACCGACTTATTACTTGGCTACTAAATGATTGATACCAGAGATTCTAACAGTAAACGTTACTTCAAATAATTATTCTGGCAAATTTGATGCTATTTACAAGAATAAATTACTCTGAGAATTTCTGACAGTTAACGTTACTTCAAATAACTATTCTCGCACATTTGATGCTGTTTACAAGAAGGAATTACTCTGAGAATTTCTGACAGTTAACGTTACTTCAAATAACTATTCTCGCACATTTGATGCTGTTTACAAGAAGGAATTACTCTGAGAATTTCTGACAGTTAACGTTACTTCAAATAACTATTCTCGCACATTTGATGCTG